AAAAACCTCCCCAGTTAGTCTGTTCCACTATTTAACAGCTCTTAACCATCAGCAAGTTCTTCCTCATGTTTAGCTGGAATATTTTGTCTTGTACTTTGAAAGCATTGGTTTGGGTTCTACTCTCTAGAGCAGCAGAAAACAAGCTTGCTCCATCTTCTATGTGGCAGCCCTTTAAATATTTGAAGATGGTCATCGTTGAGCAGCCTCAGGCCCAGGACAGAACCTTGCAGTATCCCACTTGTCACATTTTTTCCAGGATGGTGAGGAACCAAGCCTCATGAGGAGCAGTTGAGGCAGATGGGTATGTTTAGCCTGGGAAAGAGGAAACTGAGAGGAGATATGGTAGCCATCTTCAAAAATCTCAAGGGAAGATGGAGCAAGCTTGTTTTCTCCTGCTCTAGAGAGTAGGACTAAACATCAGGAAGAACTTTCTGACAGTAAGAGCTGTTTGACAGTGGAACGAACTTCCTCAGGAGACTGTGGACTCTCTTTCATTGGAGGTTTTTAAGCAGAGATTGGATGGTCATCTGTCATGCATGTTCTAGTTGAGATTTATGCATTTTAGGGCATTGTACCAGATGACCTTTGTGGTCCCTTCTGATTCTACAATTCTATGATTCTAACCACTGGTGAATAATTTCATTTACCAAATTGTTTAAAAGTAGATAATTAACTAAATTATTTCAATCCATTTCCAGCCTTGATTGCTTCATATGTGCCTGTCATTAGATTTGGTTGCAAGTAGAAGAACCTCTTACTGAATTTATTTATACTGCCCTCTGCTGGAAAATGCTCTGACTATTAAACACCCTTTTTGTGTTGCCTGTAAGCCAAGCCAACGTATATGTGACACAGCACTGGGCAAGTGTTTCTTCTGATGTGCTCATCCCACTCATACACGGCATGCACAGGTGAGGATTCACTGAGAGTAAAAGTGGATGGAACTCTCCATGCTCACGTTGCCTCCTTGTCAATCAATCCACCGGTCCTATCATTTCACACCCAAACACCCAAAGATGCATGACTTACATTCAGAGCCAGAAACTAAGATACAGTAAGTGCAATCAGCTAAAGATAGGTAAGGCACAGGAAGGCCAGGGGGCTTAATACCCATCTCCCAAGTTTTTCCTTTTACTGTTGAAGCAAGGCACACCCTATTCTGAATTTTTATATGAAAAGGGCAGATACACGAATGACAGCCTTGTTGTCATGTCTGATTTGGCTACATGATACTCCTTTTTCAAGTGAATCACAATGAGACCTTTGGGATGGACTCTGCTTGCAAAGCTCTCCCATACACCCTTCATGAATCAGTGTTATTAAATGGGTGTAACTTGTTCAGGTGAAGAAATCTGTCAATAATGTCAGTGAGTCAGCCCTTTGGCTGTTGGTTAAATGGTTACAGCCAGATGCAAGCCAGCGTTGAATATGATGCTGCTCTTAACAAGTAGTCCAACCCTTAAGCAAAATTAGATCCACCCTTAGTAAGTGATTTTAAATCTCCCTTTGGCTTAAGACTAAGCAAACCTTTTCTGATAAGAACCGAAGTCATCCAAACTAAACTAAGCTGCTTTCAGTTTTATAAACAGATACCACACTTATTGAACTGAACCACTTCAGACTGCAGTTGAGAGATCACCTGTCTGATCACTCTGTCATGTAATAAATAAATCAATAACACCCTTGCAGGTAGAAAAGTAGCTGGGCTGGAACTCCTGCCCTTGGCATGCTATATTTCTGTGTGCAGTGAAGTTATTTCTGTTTTAAGTGTTGTTTAAACTGGGGAAAACAATCAAAGAAGCAATTTTCCAGTTTCAGTTTGAAGTGGTACAATCCTTGGAAGGCTATACCTATGTCATTCCAATGTGAAGATATCTCTGAGAATAACCCCTGAAAGGCCTTTTGAAGAAGATGGTCCTTTTCCTTGCATTGTTGCGTAATCAAAATAAATCTACTACTTACATTAAACTTGAAAATCACCAGAGCAGACCTGTTGAAATTACTGGACCTAATTTAGTCATGTTCATCAATTTCAATGGCTCTGCTCTGAATAAAACTTAGCTGGACACTCCCTTCTCTTTTCACTGCTGCTTCAGTTTTGTTTCATTGTTAGGATTCTTTTTAATCCTGAACAATTAGGATTTTAATTGTAAGCCGTTTTACGTTCAGAAGCTGACAGCCTAATTTCCAGCTGCAGTTCTGTACACACTTATCTAGGATTAAGTCTCACTGAACTCAATGGGACTTACAGCTCAGTAGACACATGAATATGATTGTGCTGCATGATTCCTTTCCGCTTTTAGCACAGCATACTAATGCCATCCTATCTATGTTCAGACATAACTCCAATTAAGTTCAGTAGGAACATAGGAAGCTGCTTCATACTGAACCAGACCATTGGTCCCGTCTAGCTCTGTATTTTTTCACACTCTCTGGCAATGGCTCTCCAGGGTTTCAGGCAGGGAACGTTCTCAGCTGTACCTGGAGATGTCAGGGATTGAACCTGGGACCTTCTGCGTGCAAGGCAGATGCTCTGCCACTGAGCGGTAGCCCATCCTCAACTCATACATGATTTTCAACCAAGCAGGTGTGTACACCACTGCTGCTTAAAACAAATTTTAGCAATTTGCCCTCGAAGGGAGCTCGAGGGTCATCTAGTCCAACCCCCTGCGATTGCGCGAATCTCAGCTAAAGCATCCATGACAGATGGCCATCCAACCTTGGCTTATAAGGAAGGAGAGCCATATGGAGGGAGTCTGTTCCGCTGTTGAACAGCTCTTACTGTCAGAAAGTTCTTCCTGATCTCACTACTGTGAGTCCACATTGCTTAGGAACAAATGCCAAACACATCTTTGCCGCTAGAGGGCAGAAGATGCAATGTTAAGGAATTCTAGGAACAAAATCCAGCTATTAGTAATTCACACCTTGGTGACTGTGGACTCCACAATCTTTTTTCTGAAGCCATTATTTAAATTATTTTTCTGTAGTAAACAACAACAACAATGTTCTGAAGTCACTTACCAGATCAGGAAGTTTATCCTTTCCCAGTATATGCTCACAGCTTCTCATAGAGGCCTTCCTTGTGCTTTAAGTACCTGCCTCTAGCACTTTTGATAATAAACTCTTTTAAATATATATCGTATGTTTGAGAGGATGTATCTATTTCCCATGATAATCATTTCGTTAAACACAGTTCTAACACTAAAAAAGGGGGGCATTATGTATTGAGAATCACTTATCCAAATAACCTGGGTTAGAACTGATTAAACTGTTTGGGAAATCCAAAGTTTACCAGGCTGCCCTGGTACACAGACATTGGACAACAAGCAACAGCAGAAGCAGCCCACCAGGCAGGGCAGAGTTGCTCCATCAGCTTTCTAGCAGGTGGGTCACTGTTGCTTACTGGGAAGGGAAGGGTGAGGAGGTGTGAAGCCAATCTAGTGTACCTGACGACGTGCTGGAACCATGTCAGCCTTTGGGCTGTCTCTCCCTTCTACCTGCCAGCAAGTTAAGGTTAACAACTCCACCCCACCTACTGGCCCACTTCTCTGCAAAGTGGAACAAAGAAAAAATCCTGCTGCAACATTAGGATGGTCATGCATCCCTCTTTACAGACAACTGTCCTCTGTTCAAAAGGTGGCAGTCCTCTATTTGAAGGGCTGTTCAGTTCAAATTCAGTTTAAAGGTACAAAGAACTCATAGAATTGTAGAGTCATAGAGTTGGAAGGGACCACGAGGGTCATCTGGTCCAACCCCCTGCAATGCAGAAATCTTTTGCTCAATGTGGGGCTCGAACCCACAACCCAACTCATAAGAAGAGTGAGCAGGGGCCTTGCACTTAGCATCTCGACAGCAAACTGGACACACTCACAAAGGTCACTTGGTCGCAGGTGCCCCCCTGTGGAGAGCTGTATTGCATTTCCATTTAAATTGTCATAACTATTTCTCCATTTGAATCTATGCAGATAAAATTAGCATATGCAAATATAATGGAAATCTCTGCCCCTCTAAAGTTATTTTGATGCTGCATTTTTTGTGATGATGTGGAAGTGGTCACCCTATCCAACACAGTGCTAAATGCTCTTAAGATATTTTCATTGCTTTCATATATGATGTGAATGGCAGACAAAAATATACCTTGAAACCTCTGACTTACTGACTGTTTCTATGTTGGAGAAAGCTCCTAGAGCTATAAATGGCCTTTTGAGGTAACAAAATGCAAAAGCAAATTTATAATCAATGGCCATATACAATGCTCTTATCTGAACATGTGAACCGAAACCATGTTTGACCAAAGGGACCCTTGTTGAGATGTGGGTCTTTGGCAGGTGCCCAGGAGCTCAATTTCCCACCAGCCTCAGCCAGCATGGCCAATAGATAAGGATTGTGGGAGATGTAGTAGTACAACAAATGCCTCTATATGAAGCATGAAAAGCCTAACCCCACCCCCCAAAAAATAAAGCCATTCTTTAAAGACACAAGCCAGTTCTTTCGTTTGCAAGATATATGGATTGCATGCCAGCATCTGATTTGAAAAATACCTGGTCCGTGGTGGAGGCAGCGTTGGATTTGTATGTGTTTGCAGGGTTGTGTCGTCAAGTGGCAAAGGAGGAGGGGGGTGGGGAGGAAGGTTTTTTCCTTTATTATTATTATTATGCATTTTGTATTTTTAATTATTAGTTTTAATCAAATAGATCAAGTGAAAAAGAGAGAGAATCCCCTTTGCTTTCAAAACACTTTGTTTATTCAACAAAATACGTGACCCCAGACAACAATAACCAGCATTTTAAAAAAAAAACCAAAAACCCCTGTGGTCAGCATCCCTAAGGCGGTATCATCTCCTAGCTGTAAAAGATATTTGTAAAGCCCTTATTCTGATATCTTTGACGACTTCGCTGCAGGCAGGAGCTACGCGTCTCCTTTACGCGGGGCTGAGCTCACTCACTTGCCCCTACGCAGCTCGCATAGGGGTTTTGCAGCCCGGCGGATAAAGCTTCCTTTTCCTTTCCCGCAGGCCCGATTTCCCAGGAAAAGGGAAGGAAGCACAGCCCTTCGCACTCGAAATCCATTCTCGATGCAGCCCCGCCTCTCCAAAATCTGTGTTTCCCCCTCTTTATCCTATCTCTTGCTCCCGTTTCCCCCTTCGCCTGGCGAGGGAGTGGTGGCCTCTGTTGTTGTTGTCGTCCCAGCTTCCTCCGGGCGAATCTGATCCGCTCCGCCCCGCCTGATAGCCAGCACCGGCGACCGAGCCCCTCCTTCCCCCTCCCTCCGGTTGGCGAAGCCGAGCCCGCCCAGCCGAAGCCTCCGCCGCCACCGCAGGAACCTGCTGCTGGAGGCGGAGGCAGGATGACGTGTCGCCGCCGTGGAGCTTTGCATGATTCACTGGCAGCGGCAGGCGGAGGTGGGATGCTGCGCGCTGCTCGCCCCGCTTAGAGGGCGCTGAGCGAGGAGGACCCGCGCCGCCCTTTAGCTCTGCCTGCCGCCGGCGCCTTGGCTCTCCTCTCCCGCCCCGGCGCTGCTGCTGCTGATCGAGGATCCCCGGAGGATCCAAGAGGCAAGATGGAAGGAATCCTGAAGAAGCTGCAGAAGGAAGCCTCGGGGAACAAATACAAGGCGATCAAGGAGAGCTGCACCTGCGCCAGCGGTAAGGAAGTGGGCGAGAGAGAGAGGGACTCTCCTCTTCCCGGAGCCCGAGGGTAGCCTTCCCTAGTTCCCAAGCATTGCTGGGTGGGCGCTTCGGGTACCTGATCCGAGAGATATGACTCTGATGCCTAATCCCGTTAGCAGAGACGGCATCAAAGCACTGCGCCGGTTTGGTTGGGCTTGTGTTGTTGGTTGCACGGGAGGGGGGGTGTTTGGGTTTGCTTTCAGATGACCGGGACGGTTCTAATCCTGCATCCATCCCACTGGCCTTCGATCTGTTGGCCTTCAGACGGAGATCCCTGCAGGGCAACTGAGCCCAAGTGTTTGCCAGAGCTTCTTCTAGGACGTAGTGGGGTTCTTTGGCAGCTTCCCCCCACCCCAGTACATATTTTCTGCTATAGACTATTCTAGTTGTGTGATTTCAGCGGATCTTCCAAACCTACTGTAATAATTCCCCTTTGGTTTAACGGCGCTTGTCAGTCGGCACATCAAAACACCAGCTTTCAATTCCTGGCCGTGTTTTTTTTTAATCCTCCGCCCCAACTAAGCAGCGTTTAAAACAAACAAACCCTAAAACCACAAAAAAATGAGCTCTGGAATTGACTTCGGGTTGTGCTCTTTTATTGCAGAATGCTGAACTGAGCCAGGTTAGCTGTTTGCAAAATGGGCATAACCCTAGGTAATAGCTTTTTTTGTATTTTAAGGAAGTGTAATGACATAATGAGGGCAGCTAAATGAAGATTCAGATCTGCTGGGTAGAAAGACTTAATTGCTTCTCTCCCCTGACTGCCTAACCAATTGCCATTTTTCAAACCAACCAGCCAGATTTATTTCATCCACTTCACCAGGTTCTGTAGAAGGAGCCACATCCAGCGTTATACATGAGTTAAAAGGAATTTTAGTTCCTGCTCACCTTTTTATTAGCAGCAGGTGCTTTCTTCAAATATGAATTGGCAGTCTAATGCCATTTAAATGTGCCAATTGCCCTGTGGCTACTTTCCTGTGTATTGTGGGTTGATCTGGTTAATATTTTCACAGTGAATTTTTGGTAATATTCCTTTTTTATATATTCCTCTCCATCTATGTATTCAGTATGATTTACACATGGGTTATTCTAAAATAATGTCCTTCCACAAATTTGTACCAAAGACAGTGGTGGTGTTGGTGTTTTTATGTTCTTCTGGAGTTAGCAGAAGAGAAAACAGCTTTAGTGGGCTGTAAGTTTGTGACTGAAGGACATGGCCTTTTAGCTGGGGGCAAGGGAATCTAGGGAAACTTCTTATTTTCACCAGGAATGTATAATGCCTGCTGAAGTCAATGGGAATTTTTAAAATGCTTAACTTTGGCTAGTTCATGCCATAAGCAATTGTGATGTTGTACTGCTTCAGGTGTTGGCTTTCTTAATTTAACATGCTTGCTTAGTGAATGAGTGCACATACTTAAGAAGCTATGCAAAGGTGCACTTCAGGCAGGTGAGCAGGAGACTCTTACCTTTAATGTAAGGGACACATGTACTGGGAAGAAATGGTGCCCCTGCATTGTAATGGTGCCCATAAAATGTGTTGCTTAGGAAAAAGTGTTTTCTCACATCTCTCCAGTGGAGTGGCAATGAAGCAGCTCACCTGTGGGGAAACCTGTAGGTGTTTAAATCTATCTGTAAAAAACAACAACAACCCTTTAAGCAGATTTTTAATTATTGTTTAAAATGCATGGTTTATGTTAAATTTGTTGGATATTGTGCATGATTTGTATGGATAGTTGTTTGCTATTCAAGATGGTTTGAAAAGGAAGAAATACAGTTTTGGAAGAGCGGGATAGATATGATAAGTAATGCAATAAGAAAGCTTAACTAAAGGAGAAAGCTATAATGATGAGCACAGAAGCAGCACAAATAAGGTGCAGTAGTTTCCATGTCCTTGTGTGTGGGCCACAAGCTGAGTTGTTTGTTGAAAATTATACTTTTAAATAAGGCCTCATCTGGACTGAAATTTTGTGATCTGAATTGCAACTAATTGCACATATCGACTAATGCCTCCAAAAGCAATATGTATGTCTGCATAAAAAATACAGTCATGCTTGTGAATATTCACAGGCACTTCATAGACTAGGAGTTGGAAGCTTCATTGCCAAGACAACTGCCTCAAACTTCCTTTGCACATTACATTGTTAATTTGCGCTTGTAACAAAATCTAGTAAAGGAAGCAATTTTTAGATGCATTGAACTTAGGTTGTATCAGTGACAGCCAGCACCTTGAATAGTGTTCATGAGGTTATAAGAAGCCAGGGTAGATGTTAGAGCACCATGCTGACAGCGAGCCCCCACCTCTTTAAAGAGAAAGCTTTGCAAAATGCAACAGTCTGTCTGAGGCTCCTAAACAGTCCTCAAGGCCAGCCCCATGTACTTAAACTGGGTCGTCGTCGTCGTCCCCCCCCCACCTTGTGCTTGCTAAGTATTGTTTCCTTCCCATGCTGCCACATTTTCCCTAGAAAAAGCAAGTTATAATTATTTAAAAGAAAATTTGTGTATAAAAGACATACCATACGTGCTGATCTGCTTTCACACTTATTCTGCCAGTTTCAGTGGGAAACAAGCAATCGGCTTTGGGCCACGAGAAGCGTACCAAGGCAGTGGAAAGAAAAGCAGAGTAATTCAAAAGGACATGTGAGCTAAGCCTGCACATAGTAACTCTGTGATATTGAGTGTGCCGTTCTACTTGCAAAATGGCTTTGATGCCGCAGAGGCACCTGCTAATCCTGATGTGGGAAATCTTTGGCCCTCCAGATATTGCTGAAATACCACTCCTATTATCCCTGTCCACTGGCCATGTTTGCTGGAGAGTTGTAGTTCAGCAACAGCTGGGAGGCCCAAGGTTCCCCACACCTGTATGCAAAGAAAGGGAGCGGATTTCCTCCACCTTCCCCTTTCCTTTGAAGCCTGCTGCACCACCTTCTTGCCCTTCTGTATAGTCTCCCAGTCCTCTGGAACTGAATTTTGAGGCTGCAATGGGGAGAGAGAAATTGCTGGAAATTGTTTTCCCGATCACTTCCATTAGTGGATTCCTCCGCTGCATTAAAGCCATCTTGCAAGTGGAACTTAACACTGGATTTCATCCTGTAAAGCAGGGTTGAGGAATCTGCAGCCCTCCAGGTGTTCATGGGCTCCAGAACCCATCATCCCTGAGCGCTGGTCATGGTGACTGGGGCAGATGAGAGTTGGAGTTCAATAACCCCAGGAGAACAACAGGTTCCCTGTCTCTGATTTAAACAGCGGAGACATGTAGGCAAATGCCTTTCGATATGGATACTATGGGTTAGCTACAAGCTACACCAATACAGCTCAGTGCAAAACCTTTGTAAATATGTATACAAATGAATCAACAATATGTGTATCTGCTTCAGGTTTATTATTATTAGTAGTATTAGTATTATTAGTATTAGTATTGGTATTATTTATCATTTATACTCTGCCCATCTGGGTGGGTTTCTCCAGCCACTCTGGGTGGCTTACAGCAAATATCAAAACTTAATAAAACACCAGACATTAAAAGCTTATGTCAGATGCTACATTTTTTTCTTAACTATTTGAGGTTCATTCAATGGTTTCCCACCCCAACTGTATACTTTCAAATACATCTATCTATGCCACAGTGCTCCATATCATGCCCTGCCATCCTGCTTTATTTAATCTGCAATAACTAACATCTCCCAGTTTTAAACTCACAAGCACTAAAGCAGAATTGCTACGTTGCTTTTAAGCATGCAGTGAAAAGAGATAGACAAGACCATGACAGGGTGTTTGAAGGCTATTTGGCTCAGGGTCATAAGTAGATATTTTTGTAGCCTTATCAAATTGCATATGTTCCAGTTAAATTTTAGCAAATAAATAAATACAATTGGATTTCTGCAATACTGTGCTTCTTAAATGTGCATAATGTCAGTCTGTTGGTCCATCTAACACTGTATTGTCTATGCTGATTGACAGTGACACTCTAGGGTTTTCAGGCAAGCATCTTTTCCAGCCCTGCCTGAAGATGCCAAAGAACAAGGGTCCCTCTGCATACAGAACATGTGCCCTGTCACTGAACTACAGCCCCTTACCATTCCAATAGTTTCTGCCTAACACATGAGCTTTAAGATGGTTTGAAAATTCTGTCATTCCAAATAACATGGAGGCAGGAAGGCATTTATCTCCTAGACCAGGGGTCTCCAGTGTGGCATCTAAGAGCAAAATGGTGCCCCTTGAGGTCTTTCTCTGGCACCCACAAAGCCTCTGAGCTCCACCACTCACTGCCTGCTTGGTCATAAGGTGGTGGTGGGTGGTTACCTTTTTCTCCCTTGTAAAGTGCAGGCAACCCTCCATTTATGCAGTCATTGTGCCCTTGAGTGAAAGCGCATGAAGTGGAAAAAGCCTGCAAAGGCCCCATTCCACCCCTGTCCCCATTTCGCTCTTTTAATGATGTTTCAGTGACATCTTTATCAAGTTTCCAGGTCACTTCTGGGTCTGGTGCTGTGTGCATGTGAGCAATCATACACCTGTCTTGTGATGAAGAGTGGTACATCAATCTAACAGAATAAAAGAAAAAGAAATATCTGTCACATCTTAAACAGGAGTTGCCTGTGCATGGAGCTGAAGGAGGAAGTTAAAAGCCCACCATTCTTTCTCACTTCCTCCTTTGGTTCTCAAGGCTCAGATTAATTCTGTCAAATCCTACTTTTACTCAGATCATTTGGGAAAAAACGAAGGATTTGTGTGCATACTGTCTCTCCATGAGGAGCAGAACTGAGGGAGAAAAATGACCAGAAAGGTGGCAACCACAACTCTCACTCAAAAATATGAATGTGCTCACAAGCACAACAAAAGTGCTCACAAGCACAAGAATGTGCTTACAAGCACAAGAAAAGGTTGGCAACCCCTGTCCTAGACCTTGCCAAGCATTAAGCAGGTTTGTTCCCTTCATGGTCAGAAGTACAAGCTGCTTGTCTCTTGTCTTTCTCAAGAGAAACTTAAAAAAAAAAAGTTGCTTCCTGGGCAGCTTGACCTGGCTGGTTATGTTCCTTCTACAACAATTTAGTGAGCTGCATGTGAATGCTGTTTGACCGTTGCATCTGTAACAATTATGTCTACACATAGTCACAACTTGATCAGCCACTTTAAATGAAATTCGTACAAGAAGCAGAGCATGCAGGCAATTTATGTTGAAGTATACCAGTGCTATCAGCCCCCACATACCTCCCAAATGCCCTGGAAAAAATGAACATGTATTTTCATGCAAGATCTCAGTGGCTATTTTGGGTGCTGCACTCTTGCCCTGAAAAAAGTGCTTTCTTCAGGGCCGCAACCCAAAATCTCAGCCAACACCCAAAATTGCATGTATTGGGGCACCACACAAGATCTTGCCCTGAAAAAGCACTTCCTGGAAGACACATGTCCCAGGTTAGGGCTTGAAAAAGTTGGACAGTATGCCCTCATTGCCCTCTATAATGATTCTTCTCCCTTCTCTATACAGAACTGTTAGAATCCCCAGAGGCTGCTACGAAGATCCCTCCATATCAGCTAAGGTAGGAAATGTATACTGCCTTGGTTATAGATGTCAACAAAGATACATGAAGCGGCTGCAGAGCTTGAGACTTGCTTTTTGTTGAAACCAGAGTAAAAACGCTACGATAGAAAACCTGCAGCATGCTGTAAGCAAGCCATACTAGGGGTGTCATCTATCATTTTCTATTTATCACTTACAAGTTATTTTTACAGATTTGTAGTGTTCAGAAAATGGTCCAGTTCCAAGAAAGCAATGTTGTCCATTTTGGTTGAAAATATGATTGTACAGGCAGTTGTCTATCAGGGTTCAATTTCTACCAGAACTATCAGCAACAAGACCTTTTCATCTTACTAAAGATACAGCTCATGCAGCTGAATGGTATTAATGCTGATAAACTTAGAGGCACTGCCAGAATTAAGGGCTCCCAGGACCAGGTGCTTTCCAAAAACACCCACCCCCAACATCACTTTTACTTTAAATACAAGGGGGATGAAAGTTGTTTTAAAAGAAGAGTCTTGAATGCCTCCCCCCCTTCCTCCCTCTCCTTTTTGCACTGAGACATAGGCTCAGCTAATGTTGGCTATCTCCTCTTCTTGAAGTCAAACATGAACTGTTTCGTCTCTTCCGTCTACTGGTGATGTCCAATTGAAACTGTTTCCTCTCCTCTAATATTCTACCTGGGTGCTACCAGCAGAGAAAAATGCCCAATTCTAATTGGATGCCAGCAGCAGAGAGAACTGTTCCCCTCTTTTCCAAGTCTGCTGGCCAATCAAAATAGTAGGAGGGCCTAGAGAGACATGGAGAAGAGTTAGAGAAGCTTAGACTATTCCGCCATTCCAATTTGGCCTGGAGCTCTGCCCCAGCAGGTCTCACAGACACCATGTTGGGGACCCCCATCAAAACATATCTTTCACTTGGCTTTGCTATCTATAATAATCCATCTTTCTACTGAATACCATTGGTGAGGTAACTTAGGTTAAGATTAAGTAATGATAGACTCGGATTCTCTTTAGGATTTTGCAAAACTCTTTCATAGGTTTTTGGCTCCTTTTTCCATTCTGATTATTTTCTGCCATGGTTTCAGTTCATTTTCTTCAGTCAACAGAGGAGGGAAATTCATCTGCAGTTACACTGCTTTTTACTAGTGAAATCTTGCCAAATAGTGATACACTCAGTTTGGATCATTAGTCTGTCTAAATTTTGCTGCCTAAAAAGCTTTCTGTATTCATTTAAAACTTGTACCTCTAGACTTGAACTGATTGCTTTCTAATGTTCAGTAAATGTTATTTCATCAAAAGATATTGATGAAAATATCCAGCGATCAAATAAAAATATGAATAATAGTTTCTGAAAGCATGTTTTGCCCATGAAAGGAAACTACAAGACTTCTAGCTGACTGTTTTTCTGGCTTCTCTTTCTCCTTATCACTGATGCTTGTTTTATACTATTAGTGTTTGTTTTTTTATAATGGTTCATAGTTCAGCAAACTGTTATGAAATTGTCATTGTCTTTTGGATAATACAATGAACTTATTGATGAAAGTAGAACTGAACGGAAGGAAATTTTATCCTATCCTTTGGGAGAAGTTTCATCACTACTTGATATTGCACAATGGAACTCTGGCAAACCCTGTAAAACCAGATTTTCTTAAATCTAGAACTAAGAATTGTCTTACTGAAAGTTTTCCATAAATGGTGTCATAGTGGGTAGTTCTGTTGAATTCTACAACTAAGTCATCTCTGTTTAGGAAGTTTTGAGCCCAGAGTATAGCTTAATAACCTTCAGTACATGAGTAGTGTTGATTTCATCACTTCTTCCTTCTCCCATCTGATTTATTTTCCATCAGCTTTGTCTGGGAGTCTTAAGTAAGCAGTAAAAAACTGATTTACTCCACAGACCACCTCTCATTCACAGAGGTTTAGCTTGATAATTGCTATTGATGCCGGTGGGTTTGCTGGCCATCTGGCATTTGTTCCATTGCACATATGAAGCAGATAACATTGTGAGGTCTTGTGTCACTGCATCTGGCTTAAGACCAAAGTTTTGAATTACTTTTGTTACGGATTATTGAGTTTGCTGACATGGTTCATTGTTGCCTCAGGAGGAAAAATGAATGTATATTGTATAAACTGTTTCACAATCAAGCACTGCATATGGTCCAGCAGCATTAGCAGATAGTCAAGGTGTGCCTTCTTTATTCTCCCTGATGTTAACGATTCTTTGCCATCCTGCACTACTTGGTGACACCATCTAGAAGTTGCTGTGTGCTGATAAGCTGTTACTGCATGGTGTTAAAGGGAATGATTAAACTGGGGTAGAACAACTGAGCCAAGTGAAGGACAGAGAATAGCATTGTACTGCAGAGTTGGTTATTAGTCTGTGTTTATAAACTAACTGTATCCAACCAGTGGAAGACTTTGGGCTCTCAAATTTCAGTGGTGCTAAAATTCGGCACCCCCTGCCCCTAGAGCGCTCTGTTCTACAGCATTGTTTTGACACCCCTAGCAGCACAGCGCCCAGTGCAACCGCACTGGTTGCACCACCCTAAAACCACCTCTGATCCAACCCCAGTTTGCAAGTGAGATCCTTTCTGATTGGCTTATTTCCCTGCCACATTAAACAAGATGCATTTGCTTTTTGGGTTCTAGTGAATGGATTTATGTTCATTTTGAATACTGTTGGAATCAGCTGCATGAAATAAAATTCTTTACTTTTCCAAGACACTGGATTTCCCCACTAATGTTACTAGAATGTGTAGAAACCAATAAAGTTTGAGTGCATCTTGTGTTGGAATCAGTAATGGATGGCAGGGCCGGGCATTGGTGCTCACCTGACCTCTGGCTGACCACATCACTGCTCTACCAGGAGGCAGAGGGGGAGGTAGTGGTATGGTCAGTGTGGTTCAAGTGCATTGGTGGAACTAATTTGATGCCCTCACCAGTTGGTTAACACCTTGCTTCCTCCTTTGTCCTCCCCTTCTACTTCTCAGTAACACAGCCAACTGGTCAGGTAAGCACTGCCACCCCATCCCACCCCACCATCTGCTTCTGGTTGGAGCTAGTAAGAATAAAACAATGAAACCCTACTAAATAAAGCAGTGAAGAGTGACCTGCTTTTCTGAGCACATAGATCCACCTGAGGCATGCTCCTTTTTCATTAGTTTCTTCCATGTGATGGAAGAACATGAAGGACTGATTAGTAAACCACCTGACTTTTACAAATGGTGCTGTGGTTTAAACCACTGTGCCGCTTGGACTTGCCGATCGGAAGGTTGGTGGTTCTAATCCGTGTGACGGGGTGAGTTCCCGTTGTTTGGTCCCAGCTCCTGCCAGCCTAGCAGTTCGAAAGCACACAGTGCAAGTAGATAAATAGGTACTGCTCCAGTGGGAAGGTAAACGGCATTTCCATGCGCTGCTCTGGCTTCGCCAGAAGTGGCTTAGTCATGCTGGCCACATGACCCAGAAAAGCTGTCTGTGGAAGCAGACAAAAGTCGGCTCCCTCGGCCTGTAAAGCGAGATGAGCACCGCAACCCCAGAGTCGTTCGTGACTGGACTTAACTGTCAGGGGTCCCTTTACCTTGCATGCATAGCTCTTGATGATGTGGAGTGCTTATATACATATGCTCCTTTTTCCTGCCCTAAATCACATCCCAAGCTGTTGTAGTACCTTCAGTAGGAAATCATTGTTTGGGGGGAGGAGTGAAATGGTAAAACATAATGTGGGAAATGGGGCTGTTCTGCCACATGTCATTGTCCCAGTCCAGATTGAGTTTCTCTGCAGCTTTTTATCAAGAATGTAAAATGGCAGGTTCTGCTTAGGTTATTGTTAATGAAATGTGTAGTTTGGCCCTGAGAATGCCTGTGGATGTCCAGGAAAAGAGCCTGAAAGAGCCAAAAGGAACTCCAGTAATTGCTCGATGCCCTAAATTGTCAGTAGCACATTTGGTCAAGCAAGCATGGAAGGAGAATTGTGAATGAAGCCCCAGCACTCATTTATAATAATGAAGTGAAATGTATCCATTTAAGAAAAGGGAAAGATAAAAAAGAGGTAAGTCAGGTTTCTTAGACGCTTATAACACATCCCTAAAACTGTTGTCTATGATGAAGCCCTGTTATACAACTGTGTCATCAAAAAGAGACTTGCACCTAAAACAAATTATATCAGGCTGCACCACTGACCCAACAGAGATGGTTCCTGACTTTGTCAATCTACTGTGGACAGAAGTAGAAGAGAATGTGACAGGCTGACACTAGTTGTCAGTTCCAGCTGCCAGGCAGTGCCCAACATTAAAGGGGCCCGTCACGGGTGCATGACATCACATGTGCAATACCTCCCCAACCCAGCTAGGCCTACTCGACCCACCCACCCACACACCACCAGCAGCCTTACCTTTGTGAAAAGGATGTGCGGGGTGAAGATGCTTCACCCTGCATGTCCCTGGCAGAGATCGCCAGTGCACCTTCCAGGAGGGTTCTCTAGCACACAATGAAGACTCTTCGCTGTGCCGCATCCCTGGTGATCTTCAAAAGGACACGGCAGGGCCAAGCATCTTTGTCCTGGTGCGTTCTTTTGAGGATCGCCAGGCTGGCCTCCTCCTTGAAAATATTGGGGGCCCTGCCCCTCTGTAGATGGTGCCTCTGCTGACAGGTAAAACCACTCAAACCTGTCATGAAGAATCTCCAGCCCATTGTGGACAAGTATATTTCCTTTTCGCAGTAGGGGCTGGCCTGTGTTTGCTTACAGGCAGCCCCATCTGCTCACCAAGAACAGCAGGTAATGCAACAGAGGTACAGATTTGGGGATCAGACCTGCGGCAGACCCAGGTGCCAACCATGTCTCTGTATCATCTACAACTTGAGGGGTTCGTTCACATCTTCATCTATCCGAGCGACATATCTGCCAAGAATGGCCTTCTGTGTTCTATGTAGGACAAAGAGATGGGCCTCTATGTAAAGGACACTTTACAATATAAAGTAGCCGTATTTTAACAAAGGAACTTCAAAGGGACGTGAAACAGCG